AAGAATTTGTGTTCAAAGTAAAATATGCTACTATGTTGGAACACATTCCATACATAATAAAACATACCGCGGTTGCAAATCCGATTCCATCCTACAAATCCATCGCATGATGTTCAAAATGTAGGAACATCATAAAATAGCAATGCTATAAAGCAAAATGGCTATTCAATGACGGCTATTTCAATATTGTGTATATCAAATTGTCAGCTTTCCAAATTTAAATTATGTATAAGATAAATTTATATACCATAATTCCTTCATCACGATCAATATGGTCGTAGATTTTGATGTAGTTGGAAATAAAAATATATGTTTGCTTTTAAAAATTAAGTACTATCGAAATAACAACATTAGAAAGAAAAGCTTTTTGAGACATCGAGAAACATATTGGAAACAATACATTTTTTTTTCGACACCAAGTTAACGGAATGATCAATCTATCATCAAAGTACATGATAGAAAAATTTTATTATAACCCAGATTCTTTTAAACAAAAAAACAAAAAAAAAATACCAAAAAAAGAAGCGAGCTCTTGAGATATAGTGCGGATAAACGGAGCGGATGCAGAAAATTGATTCCTGCATTCTTGATTCTACGGCACCCTCATCACTCTTATCCGTTGCAGTGTCAGCTGCAGCGGCATGACGAAATATTTTCCAACTTTGTCGGGGAGTATCGAAAATCGCGATAACCATTGAATACATCCCATATACGTGTGTACACGGTCGTAGGGTTATATTTAGATAGTCGTGCGACCGGCGAACAAGCGCGCACACAACACGCATGGAACACAGCGTATACGACGTGCATACACATATATTGCAGCGTATGCCACATCGTGTGTTTGCATATGTGTACACACAACACACATCGAGTCGCGTCGCGCCGCGTCGCGTCGCGTCGCGTCGCGTCGCGTCGCGTCGCGTCGCGTCGCGTCGCGTCGCGTCGCGTCGCGTCGCGTCGCGTCGCGTCGCGTCGCGTCGCGTCGCGTCGCGTCGCGTCGCGTCGCGTCGCGTCGCGTCGCGTCGCGTCG